AATAAACAAGTTAGGTATGATACAGGTATATCCGAGGACAAACCATGGTTTGACCCTGATTTGAAACATGTATGGAATAATTATAAAAATACATTGAGTTTGTTTAATAGTTCTAAGTCTGTAGAGAATCATAACAATTTAATTTTAATAAGAAAAGATTGTACAAAGCAGCAGAAGCAAAGAAAAAAAGAATGTACATGAAATATGAAGGTGATAAGCTTGAGCATCTAAGATAGTATAACCCGAGACAATTTTATAAGAGATTTTCGTCGCCTAAAGCAGCTGGACCTCAAATGAGTATGGATAATTTGTACGACCATTTTAAGACTTCGTCATCTGAAAATGTTAATAATTCAGATGTAACAGAAAATAGTGGTGAGTTTAATTCCAATGATAACTCTATTCCAATTTATGATGAATTAGACTGTCCTTTTACGGTGTATGAGATAGCTAAAGCGATAAGTAACCTAAAACGGGGTAAATCACATGGACTTGATGGAATTTTAAATGAATGTTTCGTAGTTGGTAAAAATGTACTATTACCTGTTTTGAGTGTACTATATAATGGCATTTTTAATTCTGGATGTTTTCCCTCCGAATGGTCTATAGCTGGTATTACGCCAGTTCATAAGAAAGGAGATAAAGTGACCCTAACAATTTTAGAGGTATTAGTTTAGTAAGTTGTCTAGGCAAACTATTTACATCAATTTTGAATACGAGGTTGGTAAAATGGTCGGAGTCTTATGATATAATTACTGATGCACAGTTTGGTTTTCGCCCTGGTCTTAGCACTGTTGATGCCGTTTTCGCTCTGCATTCAGTTATTACAAAATCTTTTAGTGAAAATAAACGGCTATATTGTTGTTTCGTGGATTTTAGAAAGGCGTTCGACTACGTTGATAGGATCAACTTGTGGTATAAGTTATCGAAGTTGGGAGTAAGAGGGAAGCTGCTGCAAGTCATCAAGTCTATATATAATCATGTTAGGTCTTGTGTGAAATTCAAAGGCTGCTTATCAGACTTTTTTGATAATGATATCGGATTATTGCAAGGGGAAATTCTGTCTCCGATACTTTTTTCCATGTATGTGAATGATTTTGAATCGTTTTTTATCTCGAATTGTAGTAGCTATTATACCTTTGGAGAATTAAGCTTATTTCTTATGCTATACGCAGACGATTTAGTGTTGTTATCGGAGACGGTTGAGGGTTTACAGGAACTGTTGGATAATCTCGCTAGTTATTCTGAGAAATGGAAATTAACTGTCAATATTGATAAGACAAAAATTGTGGTTTTTCGAAAAGGCGGGAAAGTTCGAAATAATGAAATTTGGTTTTATAATGGCAAAACGGTTAGTTGTGTTGATCAATTTACATACCTAGGTGTGCAATTTAAGTTTAACAATAAGTTCAATAGTATTCAGAAACAATTAGCTGACCAAGGTCGTAAAGCTATGTTTGCTTTATTATCAAAATGCTCCAATCTTAGTCTTAATTTTAAGACCATGTTACATTTGTTCGATACATATGTTATTAGCATATTAAGTTACGCATGTGAAGTATGGGGATCCATAAAAGGAATAGACATTGAGAATGTGCACTTGAATTTCTGTAAGAGACTCCTCAAAGTTAAAAAATCCACATATAATGCAATGGTATATTTCGAACTTGGTCGCTTGTCTTTAAAATGTATCAGAAAATACAGAATCATTAAGTATTGGTTTAAGTTACTCGACTCGAAAAATTGTATTCTGAACTGTGCATATTCTTTTTTATCAAAACAGATTACATGTTCTTGCTTTAACTGGGTACACCATGTAAAAATGAATTATTTGCTTTGGGCTTTGGTGATGTATGGTTAAGCCAATCGTCGACTAATGTTAAATTAATTTTACTGCTTATTCGTCAAAGAATGTTTGACCAAGGTCAACAACATTTAAGAGGTTTACTAGATACTTCCTCTAAGTGTTTTTTTATACAAGTGTATCGTAGACCACTTTTCCATTCAGTATTATTAAACCAAATATATTCCTAAGAATTATAGAATTAGTCTAACAAAGTTACGAATGTCTGCACATTCATTAGCAATCGAGACCGGTAGATATCGCAACGTTATTCGAGAACAGAGATATTATACGAACTGTAATTCGGCTACAGAAGTCGAAGATGAATATCATTTTATTCTGATATATGTAAAACCTACCAAAACTTAAGAAGTCGCCTTATTAAAAAGTACTACTGGAAAAAGCCATCCATGTTTAAATTTATACAATTATTGTGTGTTAACAATACTAAGGAATTATGTCAACTTGGTAAATATATTTTTGAAGCTAATAAGTTAAGAATCTAATTTATTTACTCCACTCTCTCACTGTGTATTGTGAGCCGTGTTATTGTGTATATTATGCATTGTATTGATAGGTTTGTACTGATGGGCCGTAAGGCCGAAAGTTAATAAATTAATTGAATTGAAAATGACAAAGAAATCGAAATCAAACTTACTCATATTTTTGCTACGGTTTCCTAAAAGCAGGCAACTAAGGATTATCAAACTTAAATTAAATACACGTCTTATTTTTTAGAATTACCATCTATATATGGGCATGTTATGACATAAGGTTTTTCCTAGGATGTTTTATATTCTTGCATTGTTTGCATATAATTTCGGCTCAGTAAAGTAATTATTCTAGTACTTTGATGGGACTGATGGAGTATAAAACAGAGGAGCGAATTATTCTTCTTTTATCGTTTTATTGATAACAAAACCCCAGCGTTAACCATATCACTTAACAAATACCCTTCCTCTCCCTCCCCCCCATCATTACACTACAAAAATTAAATGAGGGTGTGTTATGTGTTGGTGTTGATGTTATGTAATGTGAGGGTGTGTACTGTTAGGGTGTGTTATTTATTGGTGTTGGTATTGATGTTGTGGTATGTGATGTTGTTTAATGTTAGGGTGTGTTATGTGTTGGTGTTGATGTTGTGTAAGGTGAGGGTGTGTACTGTTAGGGTGTGTTATGTGTTGGTGTTGATGTTGGGTAATGTGAGGGTGTTTAATGTTAGGTTGTGTTATGTGTTGGTGTTGATGTTGTGTAATGTGAGGGTGTGTAATGTTAGGGTGTGTTATGTGTTGGTGTTGATGTTGTGTAATATGAGGGTGTGTGATGTTAGGGTGTGTTATGTGTTGGTGTTGATGTTGTGTAATGTGAGGGCGTGTAATGTTAGGGTGTGTTATATGTAGGTGTTGATGTTGTGTAAGGTGAGGGTGTGTACTGTTAGGGTGTGTTATGTGTTGGTGTTGATGTTGTTTTTTGTGAGGGTGTGTAATTTTAGGGTGTGTTATGTGTTTGTGTTGATGTTGTGTAATGTGAGGGTGTGTAATGTTAGGGTGTGTTATGTGTTGGTGTTGATGTTGTGCTATGTGATGTTGTGTAATGTTAGGGTTTGTTATGTGTTGGTGTTGGTATTGATGTTTTGTTATGTGATGTTGTGTAATGTTAGGGTTTGTTATGTGTTGGTGTTGATGTTGTGTAATGTGAGGGTGTGTAATGTTAGGGTGTGTTATATGTTGATGTGGTTGTTAGCTCACGTGGCCCGAAGGGCCAAGTGAGCTTATGCCGTGGTGCGACGTCCGTCGTCTTTCCGGCGCCAACGTTCAGTTTAAACAACTTCCTCTGAATAACCAAGAGGCCTAGGGCATGATGGCGTTAAGGGCTTCCAAAAGGTTCAGGGTAATAATAAACAGCTACCAAGTTTGTTCAAATGAATGACCTTGACTTATATTCAAGGTCACAGGGGTCAAATATGTTCAAAACCTTTAAACAACTTCTGAGGAAGAACAAAAAAAAAACATGGAATAAAGGGTTACCAAGATCGTTCAAATTAATTACCTTGGCATTGGCTCAAGGTCACAGGGCTAAAATATGTCCAAGGCTGACGATATTCGGCCAGAAACATGCTCAGATGAGAAACTTTGAAGATTGCTCTAATGAATGAATTTCACCCATATTCGAGGTCAACGGGGTCAAATGTGCTGAAAACTTTCAAACAACTTCTCAAAAAGCAAAAGGATGGTGTGTTTTTTTGCCATAGCCTACTCAGATGGTGAGCTATCAAGTTTGTTCATGTGGATGATCATGACCCACTTTTATTCAGTTCACATATGGCCAAATGTATATAAAAACTTCAATAATCAAAAGATCTAGGATGGCGATATTTGGTTAATTGCATGATGAGATGAAGGGCTCTATTCAAACTTAATGACCTTTTCAAGGTCACAGGGGTCACATAGGTTTAAATATTTTAACATGATCATCTGGTTAACTTACAGTCATACATTTTAGTCCACTTTAAGGTAACATGGGAGATATTAATACCAAGTGAGCAATGTAGGCCCAATGGGCCTTTTGTTTGAAGAAACAAAATCGTTTTTGCGAAAGTCGCAAAAATTAGAACCCTGCAGCAAAACATGCTTCCCTATTGAACAATGTTCCATAGGGTCCTATTATCTTTTTAAATGACGTTGAGTTTCGATTTTTCTCTAGTATTCTGTGGCTGTGGTGTATATAAAAATGTATGTATTATATATCATATTTTAACAATTTCGTTAAGACTTTCTAATATACTATACACTTATTCAAGGATTAAAGTTAAGCTTGTGTTCGGTTCACTGGTGTCGGAACTGTATTTTCATTCAACCGAGTTCTAAACGACATAATGGCTGCTATACACAAGTCCGCCTGGCTAATAAGGACCGTGTACTGGAGCAAGCTGTTAAAACTGTGTGAACGAGTAACCATGGAGATGGGAAACGTTTACAGAAGTGAGTTTGTGATACTGTGTTAACGATGTGTCATGGAGATTGCGTGTAAGTATTGGTTCAAAAAACGTTTCCTCAGATTGGCAAATACACTACATACACATGTATGTGTATATATATGAGCTTAAATGCAAAAAAACATGTGGCGTGAATATACGTGATCTCGTCCATGATACAGTCAACACTTGCGTGAGGATTGTGCTTACATTATTTGCTGTATTATTGTGGACACAACGCATACCTGTGGATAAACACCTCCATGGTAAGTATAGACAAGTAACGCTCCGGAAGACATAGGTTCATATTTTGTTCGAAACTCTTTGTTATGTGGGCGAGAAAAAACACTTATGTTTTTGATTAATCCACAAGGCAAGCCATGGTCAGGAGGTAATACGGTCGATTAGTGCTTAATATATACTCGCATAGGGATCTATGACCTGGAAACGTCGCAGGCTTGCACGGTATCTAATCCCACTTACAATCATACACGATGTTATCTTCTCACTTCTACATTGTATGTATTCTACTCAAGCTAACAGGGCTTTGGTAAAAAGGCGTTGCCGTCAAAGGTTAATTTGGTACGTGCATTACAGGAACTGTATACAAAACAGGGAAAATATTATTATAACACTGTATAAAAATAGAAAGATTGCACAATCATTTTTGTTTAAGGTACAGTATAATGAATTGAATATTTTCATATGAGAAGTGTAAACTTTGAGGTTTTCGTTTATTTATACATCTATTACATCAAGGTCCAAAGGCCTCATTCGATTATAGTTTTGCACTACCGCGTGGCAAAGTAACTACTCTGCCGTGACTGAACCTAATGTCGGTAACGCTCTATTACTGTATCTGTATCAATATAAACAACCCGGCAGGCGGGTGATTACACACAGTCAATTGTATAGGCACACAATTCGCTTTTTCACTACGGTTATTGCTAATTGACTTCTGACTCCTTTCCCTAAGACTGTGATCCCCTTTAAGGGTTTTACTCACATCATACCATTCTACCCTTTTTGATCTTTTGTTTTTTTCTGGGCTTAGCCAGCCGTAAATTTATCGGTACATCTTTTCAAATCTAGATTCTGACACTGATCCATCGTGGAGAACCCAAACGCATTCCTTTGATTACTTTATGGCTATGTTTTCATACAGATAATGGTTACTCATAGTAAAAATTAAGGATTCACACAACTAAATCATTTACTATAAGCTATTACTAAGCTTTTGAGCTAGCTTTTGAGCTAAATAGCTTTAATATTTGAAGTTCAACACTAGTGGCAACTGTCTAGATTGGTTGAAACATACCTGACAAAGGCTTCAAAAAGCATTTTTTGGCGAGTTTAATGTCATATAAGAGCGATGTAGTGTGTGAGTCCTTAACCAATCGGTAACCTACCTTTAGGTTTCGCTTGAGTATATAACTCTATCATGTCATCGACATATGTATATATGTAGGAGGGAAATATACTTGCCTAGTGTATTCCGTCTTTGCGTATCGCAGAGTTATCTTTTCTTTGGGGCAGGGATTGATTGTTGCGTCATTGGTTTTTGCGAGAAAATTACGTCGTTTTCTCAAAAATTGATGACGTTAATCTCACTAACAAGTGATGTAAAAATCAATACCTGCTCAAAAGAGAAGATACCTCTGCAATACGCAAAGACGGAATAGAAGGTTGGGACACGGAGGCTTTGCCGAGATTTTCGAGCCCAAATTGTGAACAAACCCGAGGGTGGATATTTCTTTTTTTTTATGTAATCTAAATTATTACTTATTACCTTAAATCGCTTACCAATAATTTGTTAAAATGTGTAGCCTTTATCTTGTTGCAAAATAGTTACTTCTTAATATTGGACTTATTTCAAAAGGATCTATACAACTGAAAAGAGCCCTCCACAAATTTGTTTATGCAATTTATTAAGAGTATAAACTTCACTTTATAAGTAATGAGTGTAAATAAAATACAACATATAAATAAATTTGTAAAGAAAAACTCAGCGAAAGATGTTCAAATAACGCCAACGCATTGTCTTTGCATTATGACGTCATGGTCAAGTAAGATAGATTTTTCTCTACCATGGGAAAAATCTTACCTATATGACCACCTATGTTAAGAAAAAAATATTTCTTTCCCTGTGTTGGAATTGGTTTTTAATATTCATCCACATATAGTACGTCGACAGGTGTGTTATTAATTGAAATAACATATCCATGAAATATTTATTCGGTTGTACTTTGGACAAATACGTATCTCTGTTGTATTTAATATGTAGCCTTAAAGCCATGCGATTTCAAACTACACAGCGTAGAACTTTTGACAGATCGATATATGATAGAAGATATGGCACCTACAAGATACTTCCTGGAAATTTATTAAGTTTTGCGAGTATTTATTTCTGCGATTGTATTGTAAACAACGACATTCATTTGCGAGAATCTGAATTCACTAAGGAAGAAACATAGCAAGTATAAAATCTTTGTTAAGATTATCCAGAAGATACTATTTTGTCACATGTAAGTTATTTGCATTGTGAACTATCACCATCTTTATCATCGGGTATACACTTTAATTGATCTTCAGGCGTAACTCACAAATCGATTCCCATTTATACCTAGTCTCACCTAGCATACATTTCTAAAAGACCTAGTCTCACCTAGCATACATTTCTAAAATACCGTGTCTCACCTAGCATACATTTCTAAAATACCTAATCACACCTAGAACACATTTCTAAAATTCCTAGTCTCACCTAACATACATTTCTTAAATACCTAATCACACCTAGCATACATTTCTAAAATACCTTGTCTCACTTAGCATACATTTCTAAAATACCGTGTCTCACCTAGCATACATTTCTATAATGCCTAGTCACACCTAGCATACATTTCTAAAATACCTAGTCACACCTAGCATACATTTCTAAAATACCGTGTCTCACTTAGCATACATTTCTACAATGCCTAGTCACACCTAGCATACATTTCTAAAATACCTAGTCACACCTAGCATACATTTCTAAAATACCTAGTTTCACCTAGCATACATTTCTAAAATACCGTGTCTCACCTAGCATACATTTCTAAAATACCGTGTCTCACCTAGCATACATTTCTTTAATACCTAATCACACCTAGCATACATTTCTAAAATACATTGTCTCACTTAGCATACATTTCTAAAATACCGTGTCTCACCTAGCATACATTTCTAAAATACAGTGTCTCACCTAGCATACATTTCTAAAATGCCTAGTCTCACCTGCTTTTAAAAAAAAATGATTTTTTTAATAATGCAGACTTTGTTAATGCTAATCATTATCTTTAAGCAACTGACTGGGAAGATGAGCTCGGTAACACAGATGATATTGAAGTTCTAAATGAAATTGTTTCTAGTAAAATAATGACATGTATTGACAAATTTGTACCACATAAGACTGTAGTAATAAGACCAAATGATAAAATATGGATGAATAATGAAATTCGCCTGAAAATGAGACAGAGAAATAGACAACATTCTAAGGCTAAACAAATTAATACTCCCACTTCATGGGGAAAATATAGACAGCTACGAAATACAGTTATTACCATGATTAGAAATGCAAAACAAAATAATCTTTCAAAATTACAAAACTCTCTTACTGACAAAAGCATTCCTCCTGGAAAATGGTGGCGAATAGCCAAATCTGTTATTAATTCAAAAATTAAAATGATACTGATTATCCTTTGGAAATTAATGGTGAATTGAAAGTACATCCTTTAGATAAATCTGAATCATTTAACTCTTTCTTCACATCTATTTCTACAACTGATAAAACTATTGAAGACGTCCCATCTAGTATTCCTCCTTTCCCCCATCAACTATCAAATATTATGGTTACTGAGCAAGATGTATGTGACCAGCTCCAACTCATTAATGTAAAGAAGCCCCCAGGTCCGGACTCAATTCACCCTAAATTTATCAAAGGTGTATCTGAATCACTTGTTAAGCCTCTGGAATCTGGCTTTTTACCTCAAATCTGGAAAAATGCCAATGTCACTTCTATTTTTAAAGGCAAGGGGGTGAGGAGTGATCCATCTAATTACAGACCTATTTCTATCACACCATTATTTAGTAAAATGCTTGTAAAGATAGTTTTTAAATATCTATTCAATTGTCAACAAACAATATAATTTCTAAAAATCAATCTGGATTTCTCCCTAAAGACTCTACAGTGAACCAGCTATTAACAGAATATGATATAATACTTCAACAACTTGATAGAAGAAAAGAAGCAAGACTAGTTTTTTGCGATATTGATAAAGCATTTGACAGGGTTTGGCATGATGGACTTGTATATAAATTAAAAACGTAAAGCATACATTTCTAAAACACCTAGTCACACCTAGCATACATTTCTAAAATACCTAGTCACACCTAGCATACATTTCTAAAATACCGTGTCTCACCTAGCATACATTTCTAAAATACCGTGTCTCAACTAGCATACATTTCTAAAATGCCTAGTGTAACCTAGCATACATTTCTAAAATACCTAGTCACACCTAGCATACATTTCTAAAATACCTAGTCACACCTAGCATACATTTCTAAAATACCGTGTCTCACCTAGCATACATTTCTAAAATACCGTGTCTTACCTAGCATACATTTCTAAAATACC